AAAATTTCTAGTTTTTCGTTTACAAATTCACACTTTTCCAAAAGATGCATGTTTCAGCAAGAAACAAGTAAAGTTTCTCACTCTCTCTAAGGACCAATCACCCTTGTTATTTAAAGATATGCTCTAATCTAGCTCAAGTCACAATGACGGTTGTTGTTAGAAAGAGTAGTCGGTGCAAGATTGGACAGTATATAACAAAAAAAAACTGAAGTATCGTCCCTCTTTTTGAGTTTTCTAAGTCCTACATCTTCTAGATATTGAGTTTAGCCCTTATCTCTGCTATGGTTGTAGAAGACTCCACTTGTGTAAATATCGCAAAGCCATGAGTAAATTAAAGTACACAAGAGTATTTGCAAGAGAAAACTTACAAAATATGAAATGAAGAAGCCTCTCGAGGCAAACATTGCTAATCAAAATCTTGTACCACTGTTGAGGGTAGGAAAACAACAAATGTTGATGCCAAAAAAATGTTCATCATAAGGGTTACACCACGTCATCGTTGTCGGGTGATACAAAAGATGCTGTTGTTGGTAAATTGTCCAAGTCCTTGCTCTGTTTCAAACATCTTTATCCTCCTAAATAAAAACAAGAGTTGGGGCAGTTGAAGAGACATAATGTGTTGGACCAGTAGTAAAGCTTCAATTTTTTTTCCGTACCATAGTTTTATTTTCTACAAATAAAAGCATGACACACCTAAAGTCTTTTAAATTTTATTATTTTATTTTACTTTATTATTTTTAAGATCGGTGATCATAAATAAATTAACACAAGATAAATAGTTATGATTCATTTTTTGGTATAGTATCCACATTTTTTTGTGGATACCGTACATAGTGTTGTCTAGGCCTATCAATCGTATCAAGTGAAGAGAGTTTGTGTTGGACTTAATTGATTCACGTCAAAAAATATTTCACTCATACCCTATTCATTTATTAGTTATGTTGTATCTAAGTTCACTAATTTACAAAACAAATAACTTAAAAAAGATTAAAAAATTTCAATTTCTTATCATATTCGTGTCGTATCATCGAATCGGTTCATATTTTGACACCCCTTGCCCAGTAGTAAAGTGTCACTCAACACTAAAGGTACAATCTATAGGTATGTCCAACAATATTGTTCTCTACTAGTCCATGGATCGGGCCGAGCCTAGTCGGGGTAGGCCAATGAAATTTTTTTTGATCTGGACTAAGGTAGTGTAGGCTTAAGCCCTTATCCACATGTGTTATCGAGCGGCCCGGGCTAGGCTTCCGGTAATGGTAGACTACTCGCAGTCCAACCTGACATTCACTGGGCGAGCCTTTCATTTAAAATGTTTTCAACTTAATATTTTTTTAAATTACATTTTTGAATTGAAAGTAGTGTCAAAATAGATAAAAAAATAAAAAAATAATAATTTTATTTAAATAAAGTAGTCATATATTACCACTAAATTTTCAAAATTTTAATAGTCAATTTTTTTTCAAACAATTGAGTGGAAGGATAGAAAGACTAGGCGGACAGCTCATGGGCCGAGTTATGGGTTTGAGGGCAAGCCCAAGGCCTCTCTTAAAAGATAATGGAATCAGACTCGAGCAGACTAATTATTGAGCGTATTGAATTTCGAACCTATTTTTTGAGTCAAATAAAAGAACCAATGGATAACCCGGCCATGGACACCCCTATTTACGAGTAGAATCTATTGCACCGAGCATGGCTCCCCTGCCATCTAATATCCGTTCATCTCATACATAAGCTAATCTCACAAGCAAACCCTATTAAAGGCAACTAATCCAGTTCACAGAATTAGGTACACAATGCATTTATATCTCTTTCCTAATCCGTTTTCTATCTTTTAAGCATTTCACTGGTTCCCCTCAACAATTCATTAGATAGAGAGAGAGAGAGAGAGAGAGTCAGTCAATCTACTGGTGTCAAGCCTGGCCCAAAAATACTTCAGACTCTGGGCAAAATTTTTAGAGGGGGCTAAATTATTTTTAGATGAATAATTTGATTATTTTTATTTTAAATTTTGAATATTTAAATTTATATCTTTTAAGAGGTATGTTTAAGATCGAAAATAACTTGCAAAACAAACACAGTATATGAATGATTATATTAAGATTAAAATTATCCCAAAAATTATAATTTGAGGAAACTAAATTGAATAATTAAGCCAAAGTTATTGAGAGTTCAAATAAATGAGAGAGTATAGTCTAGTTACTTTTTATTCAAGAATATTGATGATGCACAAAAGAGAGTATATGCAAAATCAATCAATGATGAAACAAAGAGGGCCCAACACAAGCAAATACAAAGATTAGGTGGTTCAGTCTGGATGACTTATTCCATTGGGAATGACAACGGTGATCTAAAAATCTTATTACTTGAAAGATGTAGTGTACTGAGATGTATGTAATGCCCCCTATGTGTACGTGGGGCTTACACTTTATAAGGGAGTACAGTTTTTGTGGGGCTTTAATAGAGGCTCCATCGCGCGGAGTCCTAATTAAAGCATCACTCTTGTGACAAAGAGTGGGTAGCTCCATAATGTTGGCATAACGGACGAGGTGGTTGAGGCTTACAATACATATCCTGATTCTCTTTCTAAGATGGAGATCACACGTGCTCTACTAGTAGACTGGGTTTTTCAAGACCATGTGTTTGGTCTATGTTGGCTTGTATTTTCGATTTGGGCTTGGTTGTACCTGTGACCTGAATTTAGTCTGTATTTTTAAATTAGGTCTCTAAACTAAATCTGATCTGGGTCAAACCATCAAATATAGTTCGATCTTTTTTTTTTTGGAATGTACATATATTTATGATTTAAACTGTGGGTCATTTTATTACAACAAAATTTACATCTTTAGTCTAATAGTATTTTTTGTCTTGTGAATATTTTATCTTCTTAAAATTAAGGATTCAAATCTCTCTCATCTCTGCCTTTCCCGTCCTTCCCCACATCTACCTCCTCAAAAAAAAAAATAATAAATAAATAAATATTCACAAAAATTATAAATATATCATTTTTTGGGGTAGGCTAGTCCGTAAAGTTATGTTGCTTTCAAAAAGAAAGATTAATGAATGGTCAATACGCGATCAAGTTATTAATGTTCTTTCTACTCACTGACATGATGTTTGTTATTATTAAATTTCTTAACATTGAAGTCAAACAAAGCTCTCCACAACGTGCACAAATAAAAGCTCTATTGAAAATATGTAGAAAAAGTCTTTCTTTTCTTCTACTCTAACATTGAGGTTAGGGGAAAGGGCAAAAACCAAAAAAAAAAATTCAGTCACATTCTTTCTAAATTATCATATTTTTAAGAATACTTATTCTATTTTTTTGAATCTTCGTTAACATCCTGTCAAAATTAAAGGCTTTACCTAGATTACAATTTTACTAACTTGTCCATGATATATTATTTTATGTATTAGAATTTGGATAAATTAAAATTTATTTTTAATCGACTCACATTGAATTTTAAACAGTTTGAATTTTGATACGTAAAAATATAAATTTTAATATCTAAAAAAAAAATTTGAATCAACTTCGAGTCGAATTTTAATTGGCATAAATTTTAATCAGTAAAAATATATAAATTTTAATTGACTCAAATTGAATTTTAATTGGCGCTAACAACTCAGATCGATCTTAAATCAACTCAAATTTTAATTCGTTAAAAAAAAATTATAGGCTCAAATCAAATTTTAATCGGTTCAAATTTTAATATGTAAAAAACTAAATTTTAATCATCTTGAATTTTAATATATAAAAAAATAAATTTTAATTGGCTCAAATTTTAGATGAATTATTCTTGTTAGAAATGATAGATTAGCGGTAGGAGTGTCAGTAATATTTAAATATAAACTAAAAGAGGTGTTAATAATATTTTAGATGATAAAAATGGTGTTCTTGAAAATATTATAAATTAGATCGTATTGTAGTTGAAATTTTCCCAAAAAAAAAAAAAAGAATGAACTTTGAAACAGTAACTCTTTAAGTGCACAAAAGGTCCAGATCCATTTGTCATGTGATAACCAATATTCTTCTGCCACGTGGTGTGATACATTGCAGAACCTAAAATGTTAAATACAAGTAAAAATATCCAAGTAATTCCTTAAGGTGAACTCTTGACATCAAATTATGTATTTTACCCCTAAACCTATATTACTTATTACAATTTGGCCCTTTAACTATCACTAATTCTATTTAAACATAATTAAATAGTTAAAAATTGAATTAAATGAATAAATCAAGTCAAAATGACCTCACTCTTAACCTATATTTTATCTTAATCAAGTTGTTTAATTTTTGAATTTGAGTCTATTCTTAAGGGTGTCAAAATATGATATGATCCGTTAACACAACATGAAATTAAAAGGTTTGAGTCTTCCTTAAGCCACTCATTTCGTAAACGAGTGGACCCGACATGACATGATTAATAAACAAATTGGGTATGGGATGAAGTCAATAAAAAAAAATACATGATATGACTTTTATATATACTGGTGATATATAATTCATATACAACACGATCAATCAAACGAATCAAGAATGAGTGAAGTCAATCAAAAGAAATAAACCAGTTATACACGATTCATACACGACACGAATCCGATATGACATAGTTCGTTAGACATATATTAATAAATGAATTGGATATTAGTGAAATATTTTTTGACATAAATCCGCCAAGGCTCGACACAAACCCGCCTCACCTGACACAATTGACAGACATATCTATATATACTCCATTCCAATTCTATCAAATTTAGTAAGGGAAAGTGAAACATTCACCCCACATGAGATGCACATGTTTAACTTTCTATTTCAAAATTTTATGGAATTAGAAGAAAGTTTCACATTTATTGAAATCAAAATTTAAAAGGGCTTAATTGAAATAAAATATAGTTTTAAATTGTAAATTTAAAAGGGGTGCAATATGTAATTTACCTAAATTCTTCCATAAACCGAACGCAAGTGAGTAAGAGTAACCTTACCATGGTTAGAACTTTTACTCCTCCTTCCCACCACCTTCTCTCCTGGTTCCTAATTGTAGAAAACTAAGTGGAAAATCAGCACACCTTCCCATTTCTCTCTCCTCTATCTTCTATCCTCTCTTTTTTCTCATCTCTCTCTCTCTGGGCAGCCGCCACTACGCCACCGCCCAGCCAGCTGCACGAAGACTTTCTATGGCTGAAACCATCATCTCATAAAAATAGCCAGTAAGTTCAAGCTGTACTTAGTGGTTACTTTTCATAGTTGTCCCAAAAATTCTCAACTTTTGCTTGGAGAGTTTGTGTTAATTATTAATTTTTTTTTCAATTTTTTTTCATTTGGGTTTTGATGGTGGATCTAACTGATGTATATGGTACATGAAGCTCTCTCTATTAGCGTTGTTAGTTCTTTTATGGAGTATTTATTGAAGGGTCTTCATTTATTACCATTTATTCGGGCCTAAAATTTATGTGGGTTGATTCATAGTTCGAAACAGAGAGAGATATGACTTTTGGATTTTTGGTTTCACACCATAGAATTAGTAGATTTATATGTTTCTGTGCGGTGAGATGAAATTTTGTTGACTTGGTGGAGAACATATGTCCAAGTTAAGGTACATGTCTTTCAGGAAAAAATCTTCTACTTGGTTTTTTTTATCTATTTTGGATCTTAAAGCCTCTGAATAGGTTGTTTTGTGTTGTATTGTATTCTTCAGTTGTTGTCCTAACATTTGCATATAGTATTTTGGGTTTCTTTGCTTTCAATTTCCTGAGAAATCTATGTTTTTACATATGTTAGATGAAAACCAATTGATCTGATTGTGGGTCTATCTCTAGGAGGTATCCGCCTTTTGTCTCTGGTTTTTATGTATTGCTGTACTTATGTATGTCTTGATATGTTTGTATGCTTTGGGTTTGAGTAATTGTTTTTGATATGAGCATCTCCAATCCTTCCTCAAACCTTCACTATAATTTAAATTTGAGTAAAAATAGACTAAATATAAGTTCCAGGACTTGAATATTCAATGATCAGATTTTTCTCTTTTAAAAGATTTAATGATCATATTTAACCTTCTTTTAAATTTGAGAGTATCCTACTTTAAATTTGAGTTTACCTTTTAAATTTGAGTTTGTCTATTAGAGTATCTTACATCAAATCAAATTTTTTACTCAAATATTAACTTAAATTCGAGTAAACATTTGAGTCAACATTAGAGATGCCCTTCTCGTGATTTTGGTTTATAATCTGTAGTAGAAAATTGGTTTGTTTATTATATTAATTATTTTTTGTTGAAATTACTCTTTTGAGGCTTCTAAGGCTACGTTTGGTAGTTGGAAAGAACTTTTAAGGAGAACAGCAAGGGAAAATTCCTGAAAATGGTGTAGTGGAGAAGCTAATTGTTTGAGCCCTCTTGAGCATTTTGTTTCCTTTGCTGTTCTGTCTGAGTTACAAATGGACCCTTGCTAAAATTTATGTGTGTCTAAGGTCCAACTTGATCTTTCCACTTGTTTTTATACGTTACAAATCCGTGGCGCTGTAACACTTGTTTCTGTTTGTTGCTAATTTATGACTGATCATTTGCCGACAAATTGTCTTCGTGTAACCGTCCTTTTCTGTCAACGGCCCTGTATCTCTCATTAATGGAATTTGGTAGAATATTAAATTTCCCAGACGATATAGACAACTGCTATCTTGTTTGTATTGCTTTTGAGATGAGATCAAATGTTTTGTTAAGGGATTTGATTATACTAGACTCTAGAGATCATAATGCATTTATTTTGCAGGAGGAGATATTCTATGGTTGAGTGTTCCAGATATTGCTTCATTTGAGATCTAGTAAATTTTCTTACAATTATTAGGGTTGTATTTGGACGTAAGCGTTGGAATTGATTATATAAGGAGAGAGGCGAAACCAACTTGAACTCCATTCAATTAATCAGATTTCGGAAGATCTACTTTTTTTTGTTGAGGCAGGTTTTCTTGTGCTCCCAGATGGGGATATTTGAAGAAATGGGTTTCTGTGGTAATTTTGAGTTTATCTCGGCTCCTACTGGGGAAGGAGATGTGGCACCTGAAGCTGATCCAGAGGCAAGCATGGAGGAGGATTTTAGTGATGAGGAGGTGGATGTTGATGAGCTTGAGAGAAGGATGTGGAAAGACAGAATGCTCTGGAAGCGGGTTAAAGAACATAAAAAGGGTAAGGAGGGAGTTGAGGACGCAAAGCAACGCCAATCCCAAGAGCAAGCACGAAGAAAGAAAATGTCTCGGGCACAAGATGGTATCCTAAAATACATGCTGAAAATGATGGAAGTCTGTAAAGCTCAGGGTTTTGTGTATGGTATAATCCCAGAGAAAGGCAAACCAGTTAGTGGGGCCTCTGACAATCTTCGTGCATGGTGGAAGGAAAAAGTCCGTTTCGATAGGAATGGCCCTGCTGCTATCGCCAAGTACCAGGCAGACCATTCAATTCCTGGGAAGAATGAAGACTGCAGCGCAGTGGCCTCCACTCCTCACACCTTGCAAGAGCTCCAGGACACTACGCTTGGCTCCCTTTTGTCTGCTCTGATGCAGCATTGTGACCCACCCCAGAGGCGGTTCCCCCTGGAGAAGGGTGTTGCCCCACCATGGTGGCCTACTGGACATGAGGAGTGGTGGCCTCAATTGGGTCTACCCAAGGATCAAGGGTCGCCTCCATACAAGAAACCTCATGATTTGAAGAAGGCCTGGAAGGTGAGTGTTCTAACAGCAGTGATCAAACACATGTCTCCTGACATCGCCAAGATTCGCAAGCTTGTGCGGCAGTCTAAATGCTTGCAGGATAAGATGACAGCCAAGGAGAGTGCTACTTGGCTTGCTATCATTAACCAAGAGGAGGCTCTGTCCCGGAAGCTGTATCCTGATAGCTGCACACCAGCATCCTTTGCTGCGGGCAATGGGTCATATCTTATCAGCGACACTAGTGACTATGATGTTGAAGGAGTGGATGATGACGAAAACGATGAAGTGAGGGAATGCAAGCCCCGTGATGTCAATCTCTTTAACCCAGAGATGGGGGTTCCAAAGGAAAGGTTTATGGTGCCACCATTGGTTCCGGTTAAGGGAGAGCATGTTGATATAAGCTCGGATTTCATCCAGAAGAGGAAGCAGCCATATGATGAGCATCACGTGATGATGGATCAAAAGATATACCCTTGTGAATACCTCAAGTGCCCTTATAATTATTATCGCTTAGGGTTTCATGACAGGACTTCAAGAAACAATCACCAGTTGAATTGCCCATACCGAAGTAGTTCTTCTGAAGGTCTTGGCATGCCAAACTTTCAAAGTAACAATGACAAACCTGTCGCCTTCTCGATGCCTTTCGCTCAACCGAACCCAGCTGCTCAACCAGTGAACCAGGCTCCCCCTTCTTTCAATCTCTCTGGACTTGGACTTCCGGAAGATGGGCAAAGGATGATTTCTGATCTTATGTCTGTATACGATAACAATCAGCTGAACAGGGGCTTGAATTCTGGGAATCTTAGTGTTTTAGAAGATCAAAATCTGCATCAGCAGAGATTTCATGTTCAAGTGGATGATGGCTTCTTTGGACAGGGTGGTCCAGTGGGAGGCAACATGTCTCAAGAAACCAACATGGCCTTGAATCATTCTATTGTCCCATCAACAGATATCCATTTTGATCAATGTAAATCATCGTTTGATTCCGCGCTTGATACCAACCCAAATGGAAATATTGCTGACTTTCGATTTGGTTCCCCATTCAGCATGGGATCAGTTGACAATTACATGGATCCATTTCCAAAGCAAGATGTATCCATGTGGTACCTTTGAAGAAATCAGCAGGACTTGTATCTTATTGCTCTTAAGGAGTTCTGACAAAGGATGAAATGGCTGAATATTCTCAGGAAGGTCATTGTTGCATTGTCTTGCTCTAAATAGGTGATGCTGCTTCTCTTTGTAGTAGGTTATTATGTTGGTTATCATAGATGTTTAAGAACTGTATGGAACTGGGTTTTGCTTCTCCAAATGTTTGAATATAGGTCTGCTTTGGTTGCTTTCGTCGCATTACAGAAGAGAGGAAAATAAATAACTGGGAAGGAACCCACCCCTTTTTCTGTAATGCTTTTGAACTGGTTAGGGACAGTTTATTGTTCCAGAAGTTGAAGTTGCATGTAGTTGTATTATATTTGCTGTAGCAAAACTAGTGTGAGTTTTATTTATGTTTCTGAATTACTAGATAAGAACCCAATGAGAGTTTATATTAGTATGGTGCTTCATGTATAAGGAAACCTCATAAATATTTTGCACTTGGGCTTCTTTAATCACCCTTAAATTACTCCCATTCATATTCTCGAGCGAGATCCTCTCAAATATATTTCTCCCCAATTTTCATTTGGATAGATCATCTATCTTGAATTCCAAGTGAAGACCGATGTGTAAAAGTGAATCTTTTCTTAATGGGTAATTTTTTATGCACTAAATTTGTTCATCAAAATTTACACCAATTCAACTAAAGTCTTTGGATCAACGATGAAATTCATTGATTTAACGGTTGCAAGTGATTTGGCGTAAATTTTGGTACACACAACATTGTTTGGAAGGGGTGTTCACTCTTCATAATATGATCGCTAATCTGGTACCAAAATTGTTTATTCAATTGTAGACATGTCAATTTTACAAATTAGCAAAAAATCGACACAACTAAAATTTTAAAATAGCACAATCTATTGACACGAATACGCCATGAACCTAATACGGCAAAAAATGATGTGATTGGTTACCACCCCCAACTCCAATTGGCGCTTTGGTTGTGTGTATTGTCTGTCAAAGCTTTTTCCTGGTCCTTATCATGCCCATGCTTGTTCCTATCGACTAAACTTGTCTTCTACCTAAAGAGAGTTAATGTGTAAATTGACCATTTGACCCAAAAAATTGGACTCTTCAAGCCCTCACTGGGTCATTCAATGGGGACTGGTCAAAAAGACTGGAAAGAAACACGTTTCCAATGAAAGTTACCTTTGCTGGAACTTATGAGAGAATTCATTTATGTGACCAATACAAAAGAGTTTTAGTCAAAGTTAGGCGAGTCCTGAAAGTTACTGCAGCTAACAGTCAAAGCTCACGGATTAAAATTTGATTTTAGTACATGATTTCGGTGAGATTGAAAATGAAAGCGCTATGTTGTGGAAACGTTTAAGAAACGTGATGAAAACAAAGAATAATTTAAAATTTTATTTTTGAAATATTCTGAAACATATGTCGAAATATGCTGAAGCACTTCAAAAGTTATCGAAACATCTCGACGCATAAGAGTTTTGATATTCAATCAATAATTCGTTTCAATTTTTACGACAATAAAAACGATTCAACCGTTTCAAAACGAAATTTAGTTATCTGATCAAATTTAATAGGAGATCATTCAACATTGAATGAGTGTGATTGGATAAGGGACTCACAGATAAATAGTAAGTGTCAAATGAATATGTAGTGGGTAGTTTTATCATTGAATGAAAGTGTAAAATTTCTAACGTTTGGTATTATAAGGAAAAAGCAAGGAAGGAAAGGAACAAAAAAAAAAACCATACAAAAGCATACCTTGACATATTAAAAGTAACTTTTCCATTTAAAAAAGATAAGAAAAAAAGATACACGTAACGAAGATATATCAAATCAAAGAATAAGTTAGCTTGATCTTCCTGGAAGTTTCAAATCTGTGGATTGCTGTATATATAATAATTAGGGTAATTTGAGTTGAAGGCACGATAATATTGTATATAAGTGAGAAGTGATATATTTGAGAAAAAAAAATTAATATGAATGATTTTGAGAATGATATTGATAGTAGTTGGATAAGTTTATTTGAGATCGTCGAATGGACATATTAAAGTCTGTCATGTTTTATATTGTAGATGACTGGATTTGGTTTGTAAATTAAGGGGCAAAAAAAATCTTCCACTTAACTCGTTTTTGATTTGATATGTTTTTTGCTCAAAATTAGGGGAAAAAGTTGCTTTTTTTTGGGTAATTATCATTTACGCCCTCTCTAGATAGACATATCTTCAATAAGACTATCTTTATTATTAAAAACATCATTGATGCCCCTTTTAGTTTGTATTTAAACATTACTGACACCCCTACCATTAAACAACCGTTTCTATCAAAAAAATACCAAAGTCGTCCATGCATAATTCCTAAATAATCTTTTTACATAAAATTTGATTAAAATTCGAGTTCATTAAAATTCGTTTTTCTATATACTAAAATTTGAGCTAATAAGTTTGTTTTGAGCTTATTTAATTTTAGTTTTTTTACGTATTAAAATTCGAACCGATTCGAACTCAACCTAAGCTGCTAACGTCGATTAAAATTCGATTCAAGCCAATTAAAATTTGCGTGTTTTAACATATTAAAATTCGGGTCAATTAAAGTTCTATTCAAACTGATTAAAATTCATTTTTTATGTATTAAAATTTGAATCGATTAAAATTTATATTTTTTCACGTATCAAAATTCAATTCGAGTTGATTAAAATTATATTCAAGTTGACTAATATTCATTTGTTATGTATTAAAATTTGAGTCGATTAAATTTATATTTTTTATATATCAATATTCAATTTGAATTGATTAAAATTCGATTCAAGCCGATTAAAAATGGCTCGAATCGAATTTTAATATATAGAAAATATAAATTTTAATTGACTAGAATTTTAATATAAAAATAAATTTTAATTAACTCGATTCGAATTTTAATACATAAAAATATTCAAAAAATAGAGAGGATCTCATTGAAAATATGTCTATCTTGAGGGGGTGTAAATGGAGTTTTTCTTAAAATATATCATGGGCAATTTTATAAAATTATATTCTAATTAATGCCATTAATGTGACAGAGGTGTCAATAATATTTAAAATAATAAAGGAAGTCTCATTGAAAAGACTTATATAAAAGAGATGTTAATGATAATTACTCTTTTATTTTTTTTTCTTTATTGGGAGGGGTGACAACCGTTCCACCTGACACCGTCAAATCACTAAGACCGCCTTTCGTCCTTTATTCTCTTGGACCACCTGACACCGTCATATCACTAAGACCGCCTTTCGTCCTTTATTCTCTTGGACCGAACAATAGAAATATTTCATTTCACACTTTTTTTTTCCTTTTTTTCACATCCTTCTACTTTTCTAACAAATCAAACGGAGCATATGTTTTTTTTATTTTTAAGCAATCCGTGACATAGTCATCATAAGAAAGTATTAGCGATTTTAACGGACCTGATCCATTATGTTTCTTTTTTTTTGATTTGATTCAAACACGACCTAAATATGACATGAAACCCAAAATAATATGACATGATGCAACTAAAATGAATCATGTCAAGTGCTTTGTATCACTGTGTGCAAGTTTACTGGGCCATGATGTAACACTAGTTGGGTGTTCGGTAACGTTCATGGAGGATTATCTCCCTCTGCTGCATTTTGCTCTTACCACTCTGCTGCATATCTGCTTGCTGGGTGTATCACCTGTGGGGCATGTGGCGTGTTGCTGGTTTTTGCTCGGTTGCTTTATCTAAATGGTGTCTGTGTTGTTGGTGTTGCTGCTTCTGCTTGATGCTGCTGTTTGATGCTTCATTTTGCTGATCATGTCTTGACGTCCAGTGCTGGATGTAGACATTTTCTGGTTTCCTTTTGGAATGTGCTTTGTATTCTTTTGCTATGGGATGGGGGATCTTCTTTTTCTTGTTTAAAGAAGATCAACCATCCCTTTTGGTTTCACTTGTGTACATGTTCACTTTTCTTTTATGATATTATCTTTTATGATATTATCTACTTTTAGCAGAGGTTTAAAGTTGGGTCTTCACTCCGGTGTTTTCTGAATTTGTACATATGTATCTAATGTTTAAGTGTTACATGCAACTGAAGTTATATTATTAATAATATATTATTATTAGTAATATCACTTCTTTTTTTTTTTGAGGGGGAGAGGGAGGGAGACATCCGCACAACTTTTTTTTTTGGGACTGGTGGGGAGGGGGAGGGGGGAAGGAGGCTTGAACATTTAACCTCAAAAAGACAAAACTTTCACAAGATAAGAAATACTATTGGACCAAAGACCCATTGATAATTAATCACTCATGTTTAAAGTCTAGGTTTGTAGTTTGAGTCTTGAGCTTATTATACATCCAAAGGGTAAAAGACGATCCTTTTTGGTTTTATCGAATCTTTGCCTAGTTTTATGTAATTTTTAAGTGGTGCGAGTCATTGAGTTTTTGTCACAAAATTTTCAAATGAAAGATTGTCAGATCTAGGTTTGTGTGACATTTCATAGTCAAAACTTGTCCGATTTGTGACATGTTTGGGACATGTCTTGGAGCATTGAGAAGGGAAGAAAAGATAATGGGAAACTTGGTTGGCCAAGATGATCTCATGAATCCATGATAATCTAGTGACAAATGTGACTTTTCAAGCTTTCTGAGGATGAGTCATTAGCTTAAAACATAATAAATGTAAAATAAGTGGTGTGTTTGAGCATGACCAAGTAGCATCAAAAGACCATGATCAATCTTGCTCGGTTCTAGATGAACCAAAGAGTTTCAAGATCGATTTTTAGTAAGGCATGATTGATCTCACTTTGTGTTTTCATTATATGAGTGGTTTAAACTTCTTTCGACCATTATAATAAAATGTTAGATTGATTAAGAAACTTTCTGAAGTTGATAAGAGATCCAGTTGAGCATTAGTTGTAGTCTCTCTATGTATATAGTGTTGGATAATTGTAAGAGAAATAAAGTTTTCTAATCTTGGAGAGGCAAACATAGTTATGTGAATTGTGTATCCATATATGCTTTAAGTTTGAGAACACCCATTCAAGCATTTCAATAGCATTAACAGTTGGAGTGCAGTGGAAGGAGTCAAGAGTAGACAATAATATTGTGGGCAAATTACACTTTGTATCGTAAAAAATTTCAAGATTTTACTTTATACCCTCAAAGATTAATTTTTTCACATTACACCTTTATGTATTAAAAATATTATAAAATGACCCTTCTCTTAGTTTTTCGCCAGTGTCAATGAATTGGTTTTTTAACAAAAAAATAAAAATTATGATAGAAGATTAACAAAGTTATTCATAGATTGGATATAAATAGTTCAGTAACTGATCATTAAAATAGCACAAGCAAATATTGTAAAATGAAACTTCTATATCAACTAGCCTGGCCTGTGGGTTGGCCAAAGTTCCATCCAGTATTCTTTTCATTTCAGGTCATGAGCAAACAATTATTAAATAAACAAAAATAAGCACTACCCAATGTCAACTGGGTCTAGCCAATATTCAGTA